TTTGTCATCGCTAGGATAAACTTTCTCTTCCGTATTTTAGAAGCTCATTGGTTATTCTATCTGGTCCTGGTGACTTTGTATTTTTGAACGAATTTATGGCTATTTCTACTTCCTGAAAACTAATTTCTATTTCGTGTCTTAATTCAGGTACGTTATTGTGTTGATTATTATTTTCCTTTACAGTGCTTTAGACAACATTTATTTTTGTGTGCCGTAGAAGTCGCTTTCCATTCTTTTTGAACTGTTCCCAGTGTTCTTCTCATTTTTTGTTCTTCTTACCAAGTGCTTTGTTTTATTTCGTATTCTTCTATAGCTGTCTCGGGATTCTGGGGTATCTGATATTTTCTACTTCGTGTAGGCCTCTTGTATCTCTTTACATTTCTCTTTTATTTCTTTTCTGAACCATAGTGTATTGTTGTTATTTCTTGTGTTTAGTATGACTTTGCGTTTTCCTAGAGCTTCTGTTGCCGCTTCTTCAATGTTCTATTTAATTTTCTCCCATCTCTCGTTTATATCTTCGATGTCGTCTAGCTGTTTCAGCTGCATCTTCTGTGCCAGCCTCCTTTGGTACATTTCTATTGTAGAGTCGTTCCACAGTGATTCTACATTGAATTTTTCGTTGGTGATTTCCTGTAGAAAATTTTGTTTTCGTGTTATTTTCATTCTTATCTTTGCTAGTTCTAGTTTGTGTTTACTCCCTGCGTCTGCTGAGTTTAAAGTTCGGATATCTAGAATTTGCTTTGGATAGATTTTCCATTTCGTTAAAAGCACAGAGATTAGCTATGAGTTCTCCATTTGCGTTGACATGGTTTTCATTAAATATTTGTGGAACTATTTCATTTCTAATTCGTGCATTAAAGTCACCGATAAGAATTAAGGGCTCTTCATGAGGTATTTCATCCAGGATGGTTTTCAATTGTTCGTAGAATGCCTCTCGTTACTCCTTAGATTTGCAGTCCTCGGGGCTATAGATAGACATGACATTTAATTTTTGGTAGTCCATTGTGATGTTCATTGAAGTATTATTCTTTAGGAGATATAACGGCAGTTATTATTGTTTTTTTTTAAATTTTTTATGGACAGGTATACCTACGCGACATAAATGCGACAATTATAGAATTATCTCTCTTATATCCCATGCCAGCAAGATAATGCTACATATAATCAATGAGAGACTGAAAACATTCCTTTAAAGAGAAATTCCACAAGAGCAAACTGGATTTACCAAAGGTAGAGGCACTCGAGAACACCTGCTGAATATAAGACAGATAATCGAGAAATCTAGTGAATTCAACATCCCACTATACATCTGTTTTGTAGATTACCGTAAAGCGTTCGACAGGGTCAAGTGGAAACACTTATGGCGAATACTAAAAGAAGTAGGCGTACCACAACATCTAATTACGCTTATAACCGAACTATATGAACACACTACTGGATCAGTTAAAGTACTTGACACACTTTCAAACGAATTTCATCCAGAACGGGGTGTCAGACAAGGATGTATACTATCTCCACAATTATTCAACATATATGGGGAGTATATTATGCGAAGAGCACTTGAAGGATGGGAAAAGGGCATCTCAATAAATGGTCATAAACTAAACAACCTACGTTTCGCAGATGACACAGCCCTTCTTGCAAATAGTCAAGCAGAGCTGATAGAACTTATACGACTGATCGAAAACGAAAGTCAAATATTTGGTCTGCAATTAAACATATCAAAGACAAAGATCATGATAGTGGATAGACTACACAACAATCATCCACACATAGCCACAATTGACCGGTTCGAGGTTGTGAGCTCATACTTATATCTAGGATCATTAATCACAAACACAGGGTCATTACAAGAAGAGATTAAACGTAGATCTGATCTAGCAAAAGTTGCCACAGCAAAAATGACCAAAATATGGAAGGACTGTCAAATTTCAAGAGCGATAAAGATGAGGTTGATCAACTGCTTAATATTCCCAATACTGACCTACGGATGTGAATCTTGGACTCTGAGACAATCGGAGAGAAGAAAGATAGACGCCACTGAAATGTTCTGTTGGAGACGAATGTTACGAATTCCTTGGACCGACCGCAGAACAAATAATTCAATTTTAAGAGAGCTAAAAGTTAGCCAACGACTCTCTAGTAAAGTCCATCTCCAACAATTAAAATATTTTGGGCATGTTATAAGAGCAAACACAGAAAACATGGAAAGACTCATAATACAAGAAAAGGTAGAAGGCCGATGATCACGAGGAAGATCCCCAACAAGATGGATAGATCAAATTACAGGAATATGCCAAAGACCTATGCATGAATTAAAAGAAATGACCAGAGACAGAGATCTCTGGAGACGGACGATACACGACATCACGTCGACCACTACACTCCCCCTGGGGGGTCAGGATTGAAGAGAGAGATACCTACGACTGCTCGTGCTTCTTTCTTCACTCGACTGTATGCTAGGAAATATTGGTTATATTCTCTTTGGCCTTTACCTTTCTTCTTGGTTGTTTGTATTGCACAAATGTCTATGTTTTTATTTATCAGTTCTTCTATTATCTCTTGGTCTTCTCGTTTTCCTTTTCTTTGCGTGATTAGTCATCTCAGGTACCGTCTGGTTCCGAGGCTTTATATCGGTTCTTTGAGCCTTGTTTCCTTTTACAATGGATAGGATGCTAAGCTGACCCATTAACCCTCCGCTTTTATCCGGGCTTGGGACCGGTTTGGGCATGAACGCGGCTTCTGAGCTATTCAATCCACCCAGTCATTGCACTCATAACCCCCAGGCAGAGTTGGTAGTTCTCTCGATTTGGATAAAATGATAACTATAACTACTTCTTAGATTGCTGTAAGAGTTTTAATTTTAACAGAAAAGTTAATGTTATGGGCATAGCAATGAGGAAAGACGACAAATAAGGATTAAGAGTAATTGCAAATAACAAAGATAATGGTTTTTCTTCTTCTAAACTAGCTTAATAATTCGGGGTAAGTCTTCGCCGTGTCCACTATAGTCCTCCATATTGGATCTTGCGGTTCCATTTCCCAGTATTGTAGCCCAATCCTAGATAAATCGGCTTTAACATTATTCTTCCCTCTTTTTCTGGGACGGCCTACTAATCTTCTACCGTCTGATCTCTTAAAAAACACTGTCTTTAGCACTTTTTCTACCTCTGATCTTACCACATGACCTGCCCATCTTATCCGGTTAGCTTTTATGTGTCTGACAATGTCTTAAGTACCAAACAGAGTCACAAATTCAGCATTGCGGCGCCGTCTCCACTCTTCTGTCAATTCATCCCTTTAAGGTCCAAATATCATTCTGATAACCTTTCTTTTAAATACCAGCAGCTTATTTATTTGCCGCTGATGTAGAGTCCATGTTTTTGGACTTAGATTTTGTTTTGGATCTTAATAATGATAATTAGGAGTATAATGCTCTATTCGTCACATCTGTCTTTGCTAAGACCTCCGTTTCTAGGTGGTTGCTATTTATGATTACCGTCCCCAGATATTTAAACTCTTTTACTACTTCGAAGTTGTAATCATTAATAGTTATTTGTCTGTTAATTGGTTTAGGCTCTTTAGTTTTTTTTGGTGATACTTTTAGATAAATTATTCTTCTTTTTTATCTTATCTAAAGGTGGAGTATCTTCTTCGTTTATATTAATTGTACTGGGTATACTTAATTTCCTTTTAAGTAGGGGATTTTTTTCAGACTCTTGCAATACAGACTTGTTTAATTTTTTATTTGATTTACTAGCTTTACTAAAAAGCACTTTTGGCGAATTTTTACTAGTAGTAACCAAACTTTTAGATTTTTTAACTGGTATCTTAAGTTCTCTATCTCAATAACATTCAAGTTCTTCATGTGTATTACTGACCCTAGAAACACTGTTTTCCCATCTAACTTTTAGATTTGCAGGTGTAAATGAAGTTTCTACTCCACCATTTTTTAGTTACTCCAGTTTCTTATTTATTTTTGTCAGTCTATTTGTGGTTCTTTTAGCATAATTTTTGGGGTTCAACTTTATGTTATTCTGAAACTGTTTTTCCCTTCTAACTTTGGTGGAATACTATTTGCTTGTTTTATAACTGATTTCACCTGCTGCCATGCTTGTCTTAAGTCTACATTATGCTCTTCCTCTCCCTGCAATAGAATCCGTCATGGTTGTCATTTGGAATTTAAATCACCTAGATAATCAATAAGCGAATAGAGAGAATAGAGACTAAATACCTTGACTGCTGGATAATTCTGGCTTCTGGATAAGCTGCTGACTTGATCATGTAATTAAAATACGAGCATCAATAAAAATAAAAAAAGCCAGATGAGCTTACAAATGAAGACAAACTTCTTAAAAAACTTCATGTTTCATCGGTTCGAAAAAACATATCGCACCTCTGCTAAAATAAGAGTCACAACTCAAAAATCACCAATATTGAGATGAACATGCTACAAGTATTGAAATAAGTCATACTTTCTTCCATAGAAGCGTCACTCGTATATTTGAACTATTTACCCCGAGATGGCACTGTGACACTTTTGTTTTTTACAGGTTATCTCAGTATACATTCCGCTACAGTGTCACCTTTGACTTTATAACAGTATACACGTAGTGATTAATCCTGAAAAGAGTCACATTTAGAATTGTGACAGTTTTTGTGTGAATTATTAGTTATATCTGATTATTGTAATAAGTAAAATACTGTTATTTTTTGTGTTATGACAGTTTTTCGAAGTTGTAAAAGAGGAAATTATTTTTGCATAGTGCGGAGTATTCTTATATCTTGAGTTGAGCCATTTTTTTGAACATGTAAGTATATTTTTTTTACATATTTTAGTACCTAATATGACTGTTTTGCAGAACCGGCACATACGATTTTTAAATCCATTGACGTTTTTTTTTTAAATTGGGACGCTTTTTTATAATTATTGACTGTTGTTTTCTTGTTTATGACTGAGTGATCCTGCCTAGTTTTATTTATTATCATTATTGTTGCAGCAAACAGGCTGGTTCCATAACCTGCAAAGTTTATCGAGTTCAAGGACATGGCCCTTGCAAAGAAAATAAAATCATAGCTTTATGCACCAGATCAAGTGCGAAACTCAAGTAATCTGATATTGAATAATAAAAAATAGCGTGCTTAAATAACAAAGTTTTTATTTTAGCTATAATAATTTTTTCTTCTTTTTCAGAAATCTCAGAAAGACATTTTTTAGAAGAGGAAAATGCTGCACTTGGTATTTATGATAATGCAAACTATGTAATAGCTACCGATACCGATAATAATATGCCTGGTACATCATTATTACGGGTTGACCTTTTACCAGAACTGAGAGACAACCTCCAAATCTCGGATTTCGTAAGCAATAATGATGATGCTTCCATAAAAGATCCAAACTATGAATCAGATTCTAGTAGCTCTTCTCTGCTACATGTAATAGTTCTAGCTCAAGCAGTAAGGTTGCAGTGGTTTCTTGTCTAGACATTCTAGCAGCAAACTTACAAGCATCAGAACCTGAAGTACGAGATACTCAAATAACAGACACCTTACCAGCAAAAACTCAACCAGGAGACAATAAAATTGTTAGCTCTAAAAAAAGAATAAAAAAGCAAGTAGCAGTGGCAGAAAACTGGTTAAATAACAAAGCCAAGAAATAACGAAACTCTGGCCAAGCATATTCCTCAAGATTTAAATCATAAAAACCTATTGTTGCCAGGAGTATCAGATCTACTTGTGAAGATAAATGCCGGATGAAAATACCAGGAAAGATATTTTAAAAATATATTGGGCCCTGGAAAATATAAATAGAGAGATTTCATTCACAAATGCATGAATCCAGTCAAACCAGCGTACACATACAGCAGTGTAGAGAGGCCTAGACAACATAATAATGCATGTTATATAGTCATATAAATAATAATGAACAAGTTCGCGTGTGCAAATACTGTTTTAATGCTACGATAGATATCAATAATCGAATTAAAGGATGGTCGTTGACAAAGCTAAAAACGGTTCCTGAAAGTAGACTTAAGAGATAAAAAAGTGAATCCACCGATTAAAGAGTTCGTGAGCACATTCGATCGATTATAGTTAATGTTATGGGCATAGCAATGAGGAAAGGCGATAACCATGGATTAAGAGTAGGTGCCAAAAACAAAGGTATTGGGCAATGGGTAAAGGGGAAAAACGTATGTTCATTGCATTACCATTTATAACGTTATAAATATCACATTTTTGTTATTTTTTCTCTTGGAAAACTTAACATCAGTTATTGATTAGTTAGCTAGATGATTAAAGAAGAATGCACGTAATTATTTCAACTCAATGGTTCCACTAGTTATCGAAATGAACATCTAGGTACTTGCAACTTTCTATACTCTCGATTTGTGTTTGATTTGTAGATGATTGTGTATTGTAGTTCTGATGTTTCCTAATAATTACATAATTTGTCTTGTTTATGTTAAGATCCATTCCGTATTCTTGGGCGACCATGCGAGATACATATAATTAAAGATCGCAATACGATCAGACCGGATGCAAATCTAAGACTGTTTAGTAATAAAAGGAAATGTAAAGCTTAAAATTCATGAAGGAAATTGTAAAAATTCAATGATAAAAAAGTCTTAATATATGTTTGACTAAGTATTTGCGAAATCAATAAAATATCTGCGTATTTTTCATATCGGTTTATGTTTTATCGCAAGTTGTAGATAAATTAAATCTTGAACAAAGTTACAGGAATGGCATTTATCACATTACAATAAGAATTTAGTTATTTTCATCCGCTTCCGATTGTTTTATGATAAGATAGTGTCTAGAACGTATATTAAATTAAGGTAGGCATAAAAAACTTTTAATACGTTTGCAAATTTAGTTTTTTTCTTTTTGCAAGAAGCAAATAGGTACTATAGAAATTTCCAAAATTACCAATTGCATTCATTGATACAACTGTTAAATGCTGACCTCGTTCCGCACTGCTCAGTGCTTCAACTTGTTTCCATCCCTTGGTTGCAGACACTTTTTTAGGCCTTGTTTAAACAGTACTTAGACCTGATTTATCAAGGTTGAATATATTTTCGTATTGAAAATTGTATATATCTAAAACTTTTGTTAAAGAGATGAAATATGCTTTAATATTGATCTTATTAAATGCTTGTGCTCACGCGAGAGATGTATTTTCTGGTGTTCTGTATTATAAGTATTATAAGAAAGATATAGCTAGTAGAGATAGGTTGTTAAAGAAAACGTTTTAATATTTTTTCTTCTTCTTCGTACTACTTCCTTGATAGCGTTTTCCCTGACTATTTTCGGAAGTCTTCTTATTAGATATTCATTTATTACTTTATCTGTTTTTGACCTTTATATGTCTTTTTATTCCTCGACCATTCGGTTTTTTATCTTGTGCTATTTTTACTTTGTTCTAATCTCCCATTCTACCCACTCATTATTTATGACGTTTATGGTCTCAGCGTTACATCCTTCTTGAAATATTTTAGGAATTTTATGGATTAATTGATGAAATTCATCAGGCTTCTAGGGATCATCAGGGATTTTTAAGTTAGGCTACGACCAAAGAAAAAAATATATTTCTCTTGATCACAAATACCTCACACACATGGGTTCCCATTAAAGTTATGTTTTTAGATATTTTTAAATAAATAAAACTCCTGACTTTATACCTCCAGTAAATATCGTGTATGGCCTTTTATAATAACGTGCAGTCAAGTTAGAGCGTGATAGAAAATCTGTTTGCTTTATTTGGTGTCTGCGTAATGGTGAGCTTTTTGAGCCTGACATATATGTATGATAAGCTCTAACCAAGAATTATTGTCTTAATAGTTTTTCCAAGTTTTACTGATAAGTAATTAATAAAAAATACTGTTGTTCTGAAGCTATTTTCTTGTGGCATTGTGAATTAAATACTATTAAACTGGGAATAAGCCACAATTAAAGATAAAAATACGTTTATTGACGTTTCAATTTCCACTTCGGAAATCATTCTCAAAAATACTGTTTGTATTTTGAGAACGATTTCCGAAGTGGAAATTGAAACGTCAATAAACGTATTTTTATCTTTAATTGTGGCTTATTCCCAGTTTAATAGTAATTAAAAAATACTGTGTCAATATTTATTTTACATTAATAAAACTGTTATAATTGAACGTGTAGTGTAATTAACAAAAAAAATGCACTGACGTCATGAATGCAGTAAAAACGTACGTACCTGTACTTCAACAGAAAATCCTGTTTTAAAAACACCCGCAGAAATTTTAATTAAGATGGTTCCTTTGTGTAAATTGCTTCAGTATAAATAAATGCGTAATGTATGTAAAAATACAAGGATAAAAGAATAGGAGTACCTAACCTTCTCGTTATAACAATAACATCTAGAGCAATGATTTTTAAGATGAAAAACTATTTTTAAGCCAAGCAGGTAAGTATTTTTGTTTCCAACTACTATAAAATTATTTTAAAGTACTCTTTTTATTGTATTTCAATTTTAAAGAAAAAATTTTTCGGCGACATACCAGATCTCTATGATTTGAATAATCTTGCAGTGTCGGCAGCCAAAGTGGCGATCCTTATTATTAACAATAAAACGCATTCTAATATTAGTATCAGCAAAGATAGTTACTCACACGAAGAAAACCCTTACCAAAAAAGTAATAACCCTAGATTCAGACAGTATCAGAATGTAAATGATCAAGATTTATAACCTGGTTTATAGAGACGCTGATAACATATATTATTGCGCAATTCATACAAGCTTCTCTCAATCGCTATGAAAACAAAATTTAGTAAAACGGCTATTATTTTTATGGATCAGGCATCCCCGACCAGCCGCGTCTCAATGACTAATAATTAAAAACCACTAAGTATACATGTTGTGAATAGGGTGTCATCAAATAATCGATGGCGGATCAACAGAGAATATGATATAGGTGCTGGAGCTAAGTCACTAACTGTGGATTTGTCAATTGAACGTGATATATGCTCGCACAGTCACACAAATAAAAAAGTACAGATCTCCCCTATGCTTAATCAGCAAATCACCAGTTGAGCTTAAACTGGCTCATCATATATTAATATTTATGCTGTGACTACTGAAATCCCCAATTCCGTCACATTAAAAAAATGCATAATATGCTACAGACAGCTAGTGTTCCATAGTTTTGGCATAGTATGAACGCATGGTCGTGCTTGACAGCATTTCGTCCTAACTCGTAGGTATAACATCAAACGGAGACAAAAGTAAAATGGGATGGTGTAGAACAGGTTCAGATATAAGTAACTTTCCTAAGTCTGCAAATAAAAGTATAAAGAAAACAACGTGGACTTTTGTCTTTGCATGAAATAGGTCTCAATGACCCCAATAAGGTTCTTACAGGTGAATTTTCATCGTTTTCATTTAGCGTCATTAATACATGGAATAAATACAATATAGTTGTAAAACGTAAGTACAGAATTTAAAATACAAACATAAACTTATATAAAAAGGAATACGTAAGATAAAATAGAAGATAATACAAACACAAAAAAGGTTATATCTTTAGATCAAGTTGAGCTATCCATTTAGGGCTTGATTGTGTAGTTGCGAAGAAGTCTTCTGGGTTCCCTCGATATGCCCTTAATTCACATGTCTCCACTATGTGTTGGACACCTTGATCTAGAGTACCACAGTGGCAGCAGGATGCAGACCATTTTCTCATTTATATAGGTTGTGTGCTCTTCCACAGTTTCGTGGCGGGTTGAAGCCATCAGCAGTTTGAACTGGGTCAGTAAGGTTGGATGCTTCAGATGGAGATTCTTTAGTCCAAAGCGTGCATAATCTTGATTTCACAAATTAATCTGATGTTAGCTGTTGGGCTGCACCTACGTTTTCAAATTTATTATTTTAAAAAAATTGTCGAAAAACAGATATTTTGAAGCTTCATAACTCCGAAACAAATGATTTCTGAGTATTGTGGCACAAAGAACTTTTGATCAGTATGACGGAAGCTACTTCTCAGAGGAGCGGCTCTTGACAAACGGTCGCTTTCATTGTGGAGGTCGGAATGTTATCATCATGGACTTCGATTTTAATAGCCGCTGCCGCGCCGTTAATAGACGTGCCATTTTTTAGGCACGTGTTTTTGCTAATTTTTTCTATTTGAATTCATTTTGCAGTTTTACCCAGTTAAAAAGGTATTCCACCTAATTTTAAAACTATTTACTTAATACCTGATTAAATCTATATCTAAATTTGTGATTTTTTGCTATCTGTTTTATTTTATTTATGTTTACTTCGCTAATTTGTTAATATTCCATAATCCGTTTATCTGGCTGAACTTTTGAGTAATAAAGTTTTTTTAATTTGTAGCCATGGACGTATAAACACAGATATGTTTATACGTCCATGTTTGTAGCCAATTATTGTTTAATCCTCTCCTATAATCTTCCTTTCTTCTGGTAACTAATAAGAAGATAAACCTGATAGAAATATAAAGAGGTGCTATAAGTTAAGTGTGTTTGTTTTTTGACTTTGTACGCACATTGTTTTTTAAAAGGTTTATCCATTTTTTTATGTTTCTTGAACCGATCTTCTCATTGGTAAAGTTTTCCTCACCCCTCGACAAAGGACTAGGCGGCGCCCTTTATTTTCCCCTTTCGTTTAATACGAAATTCCCACTTTCACATTTTCGTTGGTGCATTTCAATTCCTATTCTCTCACTTTCTATTCAGACAAGTTACGTTACCACCTGTAGGCTTCTCACCTAGTCATAACAGGTGCCGTAATAGTGACAGATGACGTTACAGCGCCACAGTGACAGATAATTTTAAATAGGACTTTAGGACAAGTGATATCTCATTTTGAAATAATCATACTAATTTTGTTTTTGTTGAAGCTGCTTTTGATGAATACATTAAATAAATACTAAAAATGTAGTTGGTCTTGTTTCTATCAGTTTTATTTCCATATATTTCTTTTGTGCTTTGTTCGTTTATCTTCTTTTTACCTATGGTTTTTGTTTAATACTGTGTTTAATACTTTCGTCTTGAATTCTTTCCAATATTCTTCGTTGTTTAGATTGTCTGTATTTATTAGTGTTTGAGTTATTTCTGAAGTTCTACGTAGTATTCACGTCCCCTTATAGTTTTAAGTCTACATTAGGTACATATTTGCAAGAATTATAGTATTATCCGGGTAATTACCTTTTAATCCATATTTCAAGGTCAAAAAATAAACAGATGTATTTAAAATACGTATATTTAAACAACAATTACATTAAAAAAAAACTTACTATCAATAACCTTAAAATTAAATCAATCAACGAATTCTCTTACCAAAAATGTAAATGGCGTTTTTCAACTTTTAATATATCAAAAACAAATGGATATGTAATCTTACATATAAATAATCAAAATAAATTAAAATTTTATGTAAAATATATATTCTTGTAATATAAAACTATTTTAATTCTTTTCATTTTAGACATAACCAAAGTCGGTTGTTTCTATTAATTTGCTTTAGTATTATTTAAAACCACTTAAAAGTACACATTACAAAATAATACAATCAAAGTCTTTATAAGAGAAAACAAAACGAAAACATGGACATAAGCTGGTAAGTAAATAGAAAAACACGAAGGAACTATATATTATACGCCTTGTATAATTAAAAACAAAATTTTAAAAGTTAATTACTTATTGACAAATAATTTTTAATCTGATCTTATTTTAAAAGTTATTTCCAAATTTTCGATTAATTTTATCTGGTATACAGGTTGTATAACACTCACTCCAGTTGAGCGTAGAAAAGATAAGAATAAATTTCTTTATCTAGGTGTTACACCTCTGGTGTTATACCTCTGGTAGTAAAATAATTTTTACCTTCAAAAGATATTTACTCACCGAAAACTTTCAAAAAAGGGGGTTTTATCTAATAGAAATTTCAAAGTTGTCTACCATTAACCCCGTGGTAGGCATTTCAATTGTAATTTGAATGTAGTTAGTAAGAAGTAAGAATCCACCCAGGATGGTTCTCGGCTAAGATCCATTTTTTGAAGAATTTGCTTGTTTCAAAAATGCACTGTATCTACACGACTTGTATAGCAATGAAACTCTCAATTTATGTTAACAAAAGATCGAAGTTACATTTGCGTAGGAATGTTTTATTGGTGGCGCCCTCTAAGCGGCTGTATGCAAAACTAAAAAGGCAAACTTCCTATATAAAATGGGTAAAAAGAAAGAACATGTTTTTTTTAGATTAAGTGTAATTGAAATTAAAATATTTGAACTTTCCAGAACAAGCCTCTGGAGAGTTTTGAGATTGGGCTTAGGTAAGACAGTAGAAAGGCTTTGTGTGAAACATCTAGTGTCGTTCACACAAGAATAGAATCTTTAAGAAATTATAATCAATTTAAAAAACAATGTTCTTTTGTTTATTTATTCGAAATATGGATTTTTGCGCAAGATCGAAATAGATGAAAAATTATGAGGGAGATCTATGTCCAGCAGTGGATAAGCGAAGATTGAATGATGGATTTTTGCTAAAAGCTGTAAAAAGAATTTGGCAGGGCGAGAGTATAAAATCCATAAAACACATTGATACCAAGGGAAAGAGACATTATAGTGCATGCAGGTGGCAAACATGGTTTAACTGATCGGACCGATCATGTGTTTTCATCAAAATCAAAATTGGCCGATTATCGTGACAATATCAATACGGAGATGTTTGTGAAATAGGTGAAAAGTGTTGCCAAGTTTCGTATTCTGTATCTGTTATAGTACTGGCTAGCAACCAACCAACCAACCAACGTCTGGACCGTAGATAAAATAAAAGAATGGTTATCGAATGAAAATATTACATTTCTTCAGTTTTGTTTTAAACCTCATTTACTAACGTAACGATAAATAAAATAAATAAAACGCATAACCAAATATATATATATATATATATATATATATATATATATATATATATATATATAATAACTAAAGTTAAGATTAATACTATTACCAGAATTAATATTAAACTCAACAGTTAGAAGAAGAAGAGTACCGACAAAAAACAGATGACTGAAAGCAGTAAAGAAAAAAAGAAAAAAGGGGATGATCGAAAGCAATCACAAAAGATAGCAAATTTTGAATGCAGACAAATATACTATTGTAACACATTGAATAACATTTTGCTATTTTGCTTAAGTTTGTTTAGCAGTAAATGGTTGACTTCAATTAGTGCCGACTATAAACATCCTGGGTTAACCGATAATAGTATAAAGGGCCCGGTTTCAGGTAAAATTTAAATATGTTTCCTGGTAAACTTTGTCAATCTTCATTTCTTAAAGTTGATTTAATTGCATACTGATAAGAGTATGCAATTGCATTAAATGTACTGATAAAAGGGTTTTTCGAATTCGATGGTAGTGCGCGACAGGTTTGCTAATCACCTTTTAAGTGGTTTTCAGGTATTTATATATGTTTATGGAACTGAACACCAACCAGTATTTTAATATGAGTTCTTCGAGTTCTTGATAAAATTTGTTTGTCTTTATGTATCACGGAAACTGTTAAGTGGTATTACTCATTTTATTCATTACGTTTTCTACCATTATGTAGCTTCTTCTAGTGTTCCGGTAAAGAAGAAACATTTATCTGTAGATGCAAACCAAATTGTAAAAACTATATACAGTACCTTACTTAAAAGAGGACACTTCCTCTATGAGTGAAATATGC